TCTAACTATGTTCAGTAAAAATTCCAACTAATTCCTAATTATAGAATATGTTTTCTTACAATATTTCATCAATTGGTTATCAGTTCTTTTTTGCCTCAAAAGCATGGTGCAGAGAGACAGCCAGAGAGAAAACAGATCCATTGTTTAATTTTTAATTTTTAAGCAATTTTACGAAATTTTTTTTTTTTTTTTTATTTCATTAAGTAATTACAACTGTCTATAAATATGACATCTAGTAATTTTTATGATTAATATAAATAGAAAGGGCATATCAGGCCGCCCAGTGGTAGTCCTAATATTATTGTTGTTAAACTAAGGTAGATTTGATCCAGGTAGTCTTAAAAACTAAACAAATTAAACTATACATATTAGATAAAACAAAACGAAACAAACAAAAAAAAAAAAATAATAATAATAATAATAATAATAATAATAATAATAATAATCTTCTAATCTAAACTAATCTAGTTTAAACATAGGAGTAGGTCTACATTATTTCTAAACGATAACTTAAAAACCTTATTGTGCTAACTGAATAAGTTTTGTTCTCTTCAGTCTGTAATCGAAAGTTGTGTCGTATAATTGGGCTGCAAGTTCGTTGCTGTGATTGTCAATATTTTGTTTGTGTCTCATTGAATAGTTTTTAATTTCTTCTGTGACTGTGGCTGTGCAAGTGTCTTGATGTATCATCCAGTTGGGGACATATCTGGGAGCTCCCACTGCTTGTCTTAAGAGTTTGTTCTGGAACCTTTGTATGATTTGAATGTTACTTTTTTTGGCGGATCCCCATAGTTGAACTCCGTATGTCCAAACTGGTTTTATGATGGTTTTGTACAACAAAATCTTGTTGTAGGCTGATAGTTCTGATTGCCTACCCAACAACCAGTGTAAGGTTCTTCTTATGTGTTCCATGTGTGCCCGTTTAGCGGCTATGTGCTCTTTCCAGTTTAATTTCTTGTCTAGAATCATCCCCAGGTATTTGACTGTCTCTTTTGCAGGAATTGTGTGGTTGAAGATTCTAACTGGAGGACATGTGTCTTTGCGAAGGGTAAAGGTAACATGTACCGACTTGGAATTGTTGACTTCGATTCTCCACAGCTTAAACCATTGTTCCATTTTGTCCAGATGAACTTGAAGAAGTAATGATGCCATTTCGGGATTCTGATGCTGAGCGATAACGCACGTGTCATCTGCAAACATGGCTATATTGGTATTACAATTAACAGGAAAATCGGCTGTGTATAGAAGAAATAATGTTGGTCCCAGAACACTTCCTTGAGGAACTCCGGCTCTAATATTTCTCACTTCTGACTGAACACCATTTATGTAGACGTAAAATTTTCTGTTTTGTAAATAAGAGTTAAGTAAGATATATAAGTTATAGGGCAGACATTTTTTAAGTTTGTATAAGAGTCCTTTATGCCACACTTTATCAAAAGCTTTCGTAAGGTCTAGAAAAACTGCAGAGCAATAATTTTTTGAGTGAAGAGCTTCATTGACTGTATTAACTACTCTGTGGATTTGTTGGATTGTTGAATGCTGTTGTCGGAAGCCAAATTGATAGTTAGGTATTAAGTTTTTGTTATGTATTTCAGAGTTTATTCGTTTTAAAATAAGTTTCTCAAAAATTTTTGATACACAAGAAAGTAGACTTATTGGTCTATATGATGAAACTAAATGATGGTCTTTACCAGGTTTAGGAATTAAAATTATTTTAGCAGTTTTCCATGCTTCTGGAAAGCAACGAAGTCTAATTATTGCATTGAAGGTTATAACTAAATATCTTATCAACTTCTTGGGTGCTTCTTTTAGCATTCTTATTGTTATTTTGTCATGTCCTGGGGATTTTCCTGATTTGGATGATTTGATTAAACCGGAAATTTCTGAAAAGGTGGTTCTGTTAACACTGTTAGTAGTTCTTATATCCTGGTGGAGATAATCATTTATGAAGTCTTCTTCGCTACGACTGCATTGAGGAGGTGCCGGGTTAAAAGTTTCTTGTAAATAGTCAGCAAATAGTACGGCTTTTTCTTTGTGTGATCTTGCCCATGACTGATCAGGGTTTCTGATCGGTGGTACAGCCATAACTGGTTTCTTGAGTCGTTTGCATGCTTTCCACAGCGAATAATTCGTATCTTGAGTTGAAGATAGGTTGTTTAGGTAAGTCCTAATAGATTCATTTTTATAAGCATTAATTGTTGATTTTAAATTTTCGCAGGCTCTATTAAGTCTTTTCTTATCTTCGGGATGCCTAGTGACTTGCCATATTTTACGCAATCTTCTTTTGATGGCTATTTGTTTTTTTATTTCCAAAGGAATGCTGAGAGTCTTGCAATTAACATCTCTGGGTGTCGAAATAGTTGCTGCTTGTTGTAGAATAGTTGTTACTTGATTGATGGCATTGTTGACTTCATCTTCAGTTTTCAGGCGAATGTTGCAGTGTAGGTTATTTTCAATAAAAATTTTATAAGTTATCCAGTTTGTGTATTTATTGGTTAGTAATTGACTGTCAGCAACAATATTGAAGTTTTGAGAATACGTTAGTATTACTGGTGAGTGATCCGAATTTAGGTCCAGGCAGGATCGAACTTCTATAGAGCTTTCTTGGATATTTTTGGTTATAAAAAAGTCGAGCAAGTCTGGTAATTTGCTTAAGTCAGTGGGCCAATATGTGGGTTCGCCTGTGGATATTGCATTTAGGTTTAGCAGGTTCATTGCTTTGTGGAGCTCACGTCCTCTGGGAGTAGTTAGTCTCGATCCCCAGCATGTGTTTTTTGCATTATAATCTCCTCCAGCGATGAATACATTACCAATGGATTGAAAAAAGTTCAAGAACTGTTGCTGACAGATTGTAGGTCTAGGAGGGCAGTATATTGCTGAAAAAATAATGGTTTTCGGAAATATGTCAACAGCAATATTTGTTGCTTGCATGTAGTTAGTGGAAAATGATTCTAAAACAGTATGTCTGATCTTGTTTTTAATAATTATGGCTGATCCACCATGCGCTGTTCCATCCGGATGATTTGTGCTATACGTTTGGTAATTAGTAATACGAAAGTCCTTTTTGTCTGTGAGATGAGACTCAGATATAAGCATGATGTCGATGTTGTTGTTTATTAAAAATATTTAAGCTCCTGTGTATGCTGACACAGACCATTGGCGTTCCATAAACATATTCTTAAAATCCCTGCCATTAAAACTTCCTGTTTAAAATTGTTGTGAGTATATTGAGCATTGTGCTCATTTGTTCGGTCAGTGTTTTGATCATTGTTTTGAGTTCATATAGGTCGTTATTGTTGTTGTTTGTTTTGTTTGTAGTAGACTCTTCAGTAGTCTCTTCAGCTGGGTGTGTATTTCCACGAGCAATCCTTGAGTACGAAACTCCAGGTACTGTTGTGTTACTGGTAAATTGCCTATTGGAAGTGAATTGCCTTTCCCGAGGAGCTGGATATTTTCTTTCGAGCTGTTCTTTATAAACCCTGCAGCCTTTGTAGTTAGCCGGATGATTTCCATTGCAGAGAACACATGTTACTCCGCTATTTATTTTGTCTGTCCATGAGCATTTTTTAGTTGGGTGTTCCTGAGCGCATTTCACGCAGCGGGGAGTTCTGTAGCAAAAATTTCTTGTATGTCCTAGCCTTTGACATTGTGTGCACTGGACTATTTCGCGAGAATATCGTTTGGCTTGAATTTCAACTTTTGTTTTGCATAAAAATTCAATTTTGTAAAAATCTTTATTATTTTCTTTTTGCTCCAGTTCTACCGAGAGAATATTTAGTGGGAATTTTGTATATCTGCTTCTGAGGAAAGAGATGTGTACGACTTTATGCCCTAGTTCTTCTATTTCTTTTTTTACCATGTCTAGGTCGGTGCTAAAGTGTAAGTTTTTAACCACGACTTTAAATGACCGTTTTGACTTATCTTGATAGGAATGCATCTGTGTTCCTCTTTCTTTCAGTTTGTTTAGAATAATATTATAAGTTTGTGCACTTTCAAGATTTATTTTCACTTGTGATGTTCCTATAGTTTTTAGTGTGTATTGTTTCTTGGCTTCGCTTTCTAACAGTTCAATCAATGGCTTGATATTTCCCACTTCGTGAACAAAAATCGGTGGAGGTTTGATCGCTGTTTTATTTTGCACTTGTTTGTTTTGAGATGGTGAATTTTGATCAGATGTTTTTTCTAAAACTGCATAATAATTTCTGGTTGGAGTACTAGCTTTAAGCCAGTAGTCTTTCGTTACCACTACCTTGGCTTGTCTTCTTGAAGACTCCGTGGGTGTTGCTGCTCGTTTCTTGTGATTTACAACTTGCCAATCAACATTGGCATTAGATGTATTTGATTGATAGTTAATAGGATTAACAATAGGATCGTCAACAAACTCGTCGCTTTCCTCCATACTGTCGAAATCACTTTCATTATCATTATTTAAGGTTTCAAGCGCTTTATAAACGACTTTTGAGCACTCATGATGGCTGACCCCAGCCGGGGTCATGCTTCAAACACTGTTGTTTTCACTTGCACTATTTGACACTTCTATTGATAACAATGGCTTATCAGTAGTTTGATTATTGAATTCACGTACCCGTACGGGGTACGTAAATACTGCAGGTATAAAACCGGATTATTCGCAGGTATAACGGACGATGTGCACTGCTTCGTAGCTGAAGCAAAACTGAATGAATTTTACGAAATAATAGTTATTTATTTAACTAATGCGAATTATAAGTGTAAACATTGTATTACAAAAATCAGACAATCTTGATCTGGTATCAAATACCACGTATTTCGTCAGAAATATTTGTTAGCAGGGATTTCTATACTTTACTTATTTTTATGATAATGATAGTGGGCTTTAACCTTGGGACCGTTAAGCCCCGCTCTATCCTATAGCATGAGCAAAGTAGACTTCCAAATTCAACTTCCAAAAATGATGTTAATAAAACCAAATTGGAAATATTTAGTAAACTAAAATATATGAACGATATAAATTTACATACCTTGGGCGTGAAGAGACATACTATAGTAACACTAGCGGACAATGATATGGTCACCGACATACTTGTGATCCTCAGCGGTACGTGGTTGCCCGTTCCAAAATACAGAGGCACGAATGCTAACCAAATTATGCATGTAGTGTACATAGTAAAACCTGCAAAAATACGAAAATTAAAACAAATACAATTTGCACCGCCGACAACATAATACTTTGAATTAATTTGCATTTAATTAGGTCCTTATTGAATTTGCTGGTAGATAGCACTTTGAAGGTGAGATAAAATGGTATGGGGTTAAAATTTTAACGCTACCGAAAGATGTTAAAAGACATATAGATGAAATTTGTAAATATTTAATATTTAATATTAATTTAATAATAATACACTGTTATGCAGACTAGAGTCATTAACCGATTCTACTTAGTCAAAAATACATTAGTAATACATTGAGTAATACATTATTTTTGGGAAAGATCTCAGTTAAAAATAATGACAATAAAATTTGTATTGTTTTTGCATTTCAAGCTGTAAGTAGATTAATTAATAACCAAAATGATTAGTTCAGTGTTCAAAACGTGTGCATTATTTGCTGATGATTAGTAAAAATGAAAAAAATTATATTAATTTATTAATTTATTAAAAAAAATTTTCTGAGAATAAATTGTCAGGATTTGGAATAATATTTTATTTATTGTCCTGGTTTTATTTATAATTTTTTAAAAAGGTTGTAGAAACAGTAAACATTTTATCTATGAAATTGTAAAAAAACACTCATTGCAGATCAAAATATTAGGTTAAGGATACAACAAAAATCATTTTCTAATATAAATCGTTTTTTTAATAAGTATTGCGTACTTTTAGTACTAACTTTATATTTAGATTATATTTAATACTTTTTTATCTATGATATATTTTTTATATCTTTTTTATCGATAATACCATATTATTTTTTTTGATCCATGTTTTTTCACTCTTGAACTTTGTATAAAATTTCAATTAACTTTTTTCGTAATTTGAAAAAATGTCACTAATTTCTTTGTTTTCATAATTTTTGTTAATTTACTTATTAATTTTTGAAAAATCGGGACAATCCGGGAAAAATAATCTAAATCCGGGATAAATAATCTAAATCCGGGACAAATGTTGCTTTTAGAAAATTGCGGAACACAAGTTGGAAATTCGGGAATGTCCCGGCCAAATCAGGACGTGTGGTCACCTTAATTAACAGGTATAATAATTCCAAAAACGTAAAGTTATAATTATTTCATTTAGTAATTACAACTATCTTAAAATATAACAACTAGTAATTTTTTTTGATTAATACAAAAAAGAAAGGAGATTTCAGGCCGTCCAGTGATGGTCCTAATATTATTGTTGCTAAGCCGTAGGTATTTTGAAAACGGCTAAACTAAAATAGGCTAAACCCAGTTTTATAAACTAATCAAATTCAACTAATTATATAAAATTAAAAATAAAATAATGATATCAAATTAAATTCAAAATAATTGACTGTGAAATTGGAATGCAATAGCTATAATTTATAGTTATAGCATTTACGTTCGCGAATGCGTTAACAATACCATAATTTAGATAAACGAGGTTGAGCAAAATTGACTATAGATAATGTGATTTTTTCAAAGCATACTTTAAACTATAACAATTTAGTTTTGGAAAAGATTGGGGATTGGGAATAGTATTGACGGAATTGTGCAATTGTTGATCTTCAATTGGCACAACTGAACACATTAAGTTGGAATGCCGTTTATATCAGAAAGAGAGGAAATGATTATTAAAAAAACGTTACATCACAAGATATTTTAACAAACCATTTAATTTATCATCAATATTGCAAGATTTATATTGTAATCCTCATGTAATAAGTATATTAAAGAAACTAATGTAATCATCTAAGGAAAGACTATGTATATGTATAATATGTATGTGGCTAAATGCTTAACAGATGAAGTTTTTACATAGCAAGATCCTAAAAATAATTACAAATTACGTCGTGGCGCATGAATTCAATTGAGAATTGACCTTGCGAATCGAGCATATCTTACAAGTGCGTCTTATCTTATTAGTGCGTAGGTATGATAAGGATGAAGATGAAATATATATTTTTACCTATATACTTGGATTCATTAAAAGCTTCGGGTATCTTTCTCGTGAGAACGGCGTAGACTGTGCACGTCACGATGAGCACTATCGGGTAACTGAATGCTATCATGTAGGAGGCGTCTATGTAACTGTCGCATACAAGTAGGTTATCTTCTCGAGTCGGATAATGATGCATCGCTCTAGCCGGCGATATTACCATCCATACGCCGTTAATGAGGACCTGGAATGACAACAGAGGCACACTAAATTACATTACACCCGTTTGAAAATCAATGCCATCAATGGCAAGACGTTCGGCTTAATGCTACCTTCTTAAGCCGCGATAATAATACATAATATAATTAATAAACCAGTGGTATATAACGCCTATAAAAGCTCACGTGTACCTTTACCTTGCCAAAAGTTTGAACAATGTTTGAAAAAACAATTTTACAAGAGACAAATTAATAGCTATTCCAACTCTGCTGGTTAATATTTATGATAAAATACCATAATAAAAACCGTTCATATTAATAGAATTTTTGCTACAAGGTAGGGCAAGGTACAAATATCCAAATGACTTACAGTAATTATACTGTTTTAGCAAATTGAACTATATTAAACACATAAGAGGGCGTCCATTAATTACCTAGTCGATTTTCAAGGGTTTTCAGACTCCCCCCCCTTTGGCGATATTCAAAAACCCCCTACCAGCCCCACTAAACATCACGTGTATTTTTAGTTACAAGGAAAAATTTTGATTTCTTATGAATATGTTTGTATTTTTTCAGGTAAAAATTAAATACCCGTGATATTTTACTATCCCCTCCCTCCCCTACGTGATATTTCGTAATTTTTGTCAAATTCCCCCTGCCCCTAAAAACCTCACATGATTAATGGACGCCTCCTAACAAATATCAAACTTCCAACTATAGAGGCAAGAGATAATCAGAGCTTTTAGTTGGTATTATTTATTGATACCGACATATTCTGACAAAAGACCTAGTCTGGGATGCGTAAATGCATTTCTTTCGCTATACAAAATAAACTTCCAACTACAGAACTATGTTCAATAAAATTCCCAGCTTTTTACTAATTATAGAAATATGTTTTTTAACTATTTTTCTGTTAAATTTGTCATTATACCCCTTTTTATCGCATAGGCAGGCAAAAAATGACAGCCAAGTGGTAAATAGTTACAATGTCTCAATTTTATTTTTAAAGAAATATTACGAAAGTAGCTACATTATTCAACCAATGAAAATACAAATTTTAGTTTTCTTACAAAGATCACACTGTATATAACGTTGATCTGGTATTTTATCATAAATATTAACCAGCAGAGTTGAAATAGCTATTAATTTATCTTCTGTAAAATTGCTTTGTTCAAATATTGTTCAAACTTTTGGCATTGTAAAGGTTCTGTTAGTTATGTTTACCCCAACCATACGTGAGCTTTTATAGAGGCTATTTAAAAAAAACGATTGAATCCAACTTCAGAATAACAATACATCTTATTAAATGATGGGAACTTAAAATTATTTTCAGAACTAAATAAAAGAGCTCAAAACAAAAAAAAAACTATTGACATATTGATAAATAGCCGTTTATCTCCTGATTGCGAAGTCGTAAGAATTAAAGTGATGGCTGGTTACACATCTATTGCCTCTTACCTTCACCTTTAAAATAGTATCGTTAGATAATTTCATACTTTATTTGTTTTTTAAATAATGTAGTGAACTTTTTTACGAGGCCCGTTTAAGCCCTAATCTACGATAGAACACTATATGATATTTGCTCCTGTTTTAGTTGTCCTTTCTTGTTGAATGTGAAAATTTTGTTTTTGCCTATTTATGACTATTGCGGTTCGCAATTTCTGTTACATTTAATTTTGTGGTAGCGCACCATATAATATTTCCTCTTATTTTATTTGTTCTGTTTGTTGTTTGTGAAAATTTTTATTTTGCCTTGCTTTTCTGTGATCTATTTGAGACTATTTGTGTGTAATTTGTATTGCTTTATTCATTATTATTTGTATGATGTCAATATTTTTTTTGTTATTCAAGTATTATTTTATACATAACCATAGATATTACTAGTGCTAACTTGAAAATGTCCTGATTCGAATGATTCGATTAAAAAAAAACTTGATTCGAATCATGCCTATATAAGTTTAGATAAAAAAGCCCTTCGAAATTACCCATTAACTTTAGACAATGCGATAAAAATTTATGATAAAAAATGTTAAGTTAAACCAATTAATTCCACAAAGTAAAAATTGTAAACGTAAATTACTATCAAAAAATATTAATTACAAAAATTATTAAGAATGATTTTTGTTAACTCGAACAAGTTCATTGAATTCGTCTTTCAGATATAATTCATTTTTCATATTTATATGTATTATTTTTTCATATTTTTCAAAATTCATGTTAATACATATTGTATCACAGTAAATATTTCTCGACTTGATTCGAATCAAGTAAAAAAGGTGATTCGAATCATGTTGTCCGAGCTTGATTCGAATGATTTGAATCACTTGATTCTATTTGACACATTACTAGATGTTACGAATAAACTATTTATTGCTATCTTACTTTTTGAACGAAAAAAGTATTTTTCTCTTAGAAAAAAATGATTTAATATTAAGTATTCATATTTTTTAGCAATTTTACAACAAATATTGCTCAACAATATTTTATTATATTTGAAATCGTATGACATTCAGAAAAAAATACATAAAAATATATTGTTGAAGTTTTCCATTACATAAATGAATGAAGGTTCTTGAATAATAGCAATTTCTATAACGCCATTTCTCTCTCGTCTTGTTTTTTTTAAAAAAACTTTAAACTTTCAGCGTTATTCATAAAACTTTTTTCCATTATGAGAAACGTACGCGAACAATAACTTATTTGTTTCAATCTTATTCTGACTGGAAACGAGTCATATGAAAATTATAATTGAAGAAATCTTTCATTAATATTTTCACTTTAATATTCAATTATTTGCAAGTGACTTGAGTATTGTACTCTATCTTATATCGATTCCTGATTACTCATCTCAATTGATTTAATTTAAGAAAATGCAGAACGATTTTGACTGGCAACTTTAATTCAAGAACGAATTTAATTGTCTTATTTTTCGAATACTACCAATTTATTACAAAATATTTATAAATCAAGACTCTTTTTGATCTTGTACATCAACCTTATATAATTTTTATATATGGCATTCTGAAAATTGGAACAGCAAAAGTTAATTAACTGTGTATGTTATATAAACTCCTCCAGTATCAGAAAATTAATCTCAAGTAATTTTAATTATTAAACCTCATGTCGCTCCCTGCAAGGTAAGTAAACACCACAAACAATATTTTAATAGCTTACACCTCATTGTATACGGATATAGACTACCGAATATTTTGTTCGGTGCTAGACTAATATGTATTAATTATAAATTTTTAAAAATACGAAAAAACAGATTTAATTAATACTGAATAAACGGTTTTTACTAACGAGGTAATATGTTTGATGATTTTTTTAGTTTTTAATTAAAAATCTGTAGGCAAAGAGTTAATTAATTTTTGGGAGAGGTAGATATAACGGTTTTGGATATACAAGGAGAAGAAAACAAACGAGGATTTTTGTTTTTCAATCTAAATTCGAGTTTCATTCCAACATGAAAAAATTCATACTAAATTAATGACTTCTTTTAAATGACAGGCTTTTTAACACAGTTTAGGGTTTATAACTATCATATATGATGTTATTCTGAGTTAATATAAAGTTACTAATTTTTGTGATTGTGATAAGTTATTATATATTATTTAAAATTCTCACAACAAAATGATTTGTATGTAAATATTGAAAAAAATATTTGTTTGTAAATATTGCATTAAATATAGGTTAAAGCGGGACTGAAAAGTCCGGGGCTAAAAAGGTTCACCACCATTATTTCAAAAACAAGTAAAGTATAAACCATTTTAATGATAATATTTTAAAGTAAAAAGCAAAATATGTACAACCAGCAATCATCTTAATTCTTACGACATCACCACTAGGAGATTCATAACAGAAGTTTTTTTGTTTATTTATTATCTTAGTTTATTTAGTTAATGAACCTCAATATGAATTTTAAGTATAAGTTATTTAATTGTTTTATACGATGTTTTGTTAATTTTAAGTTAGATTCAATAGTTCACATGTGGATGGGCTAAAAAAAAACTAACTAAACCTTTACACTGGCAAAAGTGCAAAACAATTAGAAAATATTGAGTTAAGTTGAAACAAGTCTTTTCATAAGAGATAATCTTCATTAATAGTTATTCCAACTGCTGAAGAATATTACTCACAAATATCAGATCAAGGTTATATATAGTGTAATCTTTATAAAAATGTGCGGAAAAACTTTTGCTTGGGATAAATAATTTAGCTATTAATAGGTGAAATCCCTTTAAAACTAAAAGTTAGACATTGTATCTGTTTTCTCGATGGCTGCCCCTTTGTGCCCAGCCCATGGGGTAAAAAAAGGCAGACGACAAATTTTAGAAAAACGGTAAAAAACATTTTTTTATTATAAAAAATAAACTGCGATTTTTATTTTATTTTATGTAGTGTAATGTAGTTCATTTGGTTCCAAAAATAAAAATGCTTTTTAGATAGTTAAATTAATTTTGATTATTTATGACTAAATATCTGCTTTCTAAAATATGATTGCCAATAAGTCAAATCAAATAGTATAGAGTTTCTGACATAAGATCGTACTTTGCTATGTATCTTTAAAACATAACCGAACACCTCCACATGTAATTACTCAAGGAAAATTTATGTAGGTATAAATCTCGGTAAGCAATTTGTCGGCATATACCAGAGATAGCAAATCTGCCTGTATCTTCCATTAACATATGTAAAGATACATTCTATTAACATGTGTATAAATGAAACGATACTGGTCCAACTCGTATTTTACTCGAGGGCTTCCTTGAGCTTTGAATTGCTTGATTAAGATTTCAAAATAACATGATAATGGATTCGACAATGCATGAAAACAAATCAGTTCAACAAATTATTTATGAAAATCATTAGAAAAATTATGGTTTTTGCACTTTCTATTTACACCGACAACCTGTCTGAAAAACTCTTAAATAATTAATTTTGTTCATTTACATTATGTCATTTATAGAATATATACATTTCATGTTGCTATGTCAGCGAAATAAATTGAGGTGGTTTTAATATC